CCTCCCCCTGACCCCTTCGACCTTCGCTCCTGTCAGCTTCCCCCGGGCTTTAGCTTGGAGAGCATCCCCCCTCTCACCATCAAGGCCTTCCTGCATGAGTCTTTCGTCACGGTGTCCGTCCGTCCGGATTCCACCATCGAGCGTCTGTCGGACATCATTGCCGAGGCCTTCATCAAGCACTTTCCGTACGGATCCCGAATCACCCGCTCACTTCCCATCCCCTCCCCGGCCGCACTGCTTGTGTGCCAGCCCACTTTTCTTTTCACTCACTCACACACACACACTCACACTCACACACGCGCATACACTCGCCTTCCTCCGCGATCCCCTTACTCTTGACCTTTTTTCTGACGGACAAAATAGGAACATCCCCTCCTTCTCCTGCTCGGCTCTGCTGGATGAGGCCCTCGTCCCGTTGCAGTTTGCCGATCTGGCTGGTCATGTCCTGTCCAACGGGTCCATCCTCCGAGTGGTCCCGATCCCGCTGACCTCGCTCGATGCCACCAGCCCCGGAGCCCTGGGCGTCGCTCGGGTGTCCACCGCGGCCATGATGGCCCCCTGCAAGGATGCCCCACCGACCACGGCAGTCGTGTCGTCGTCGTCGTCGTCGGCGTCGTCGATGACGACCACGATGGCGGCCAGCGCCAGCGCCAGCACCAGCGCCGCCGCCACCGGGCTCTCCATCGACAAGGATGTTCCCCCTTCTGGCGAGGAGTCCCCCACCTCGGAAACCGATGACACCACCACCTCCACCGCCTCCTCGACCGTGACCACCTCTTCCATGACCACCGAGTCCTCGGACCAGCCACCGGCCAACTTCAATCCCGCCGCCCGGCGAGGCTCGCAGCTGCTCTTCCAACTGGGCTCCAATGCCGCCATGTCCACCAACCTCAAGGACTATGACCTGGTCGAGAATGGCCCCCTCCCGCCGGCGGCCGCGGCCGCCCCGGCTACCGTTCTCTCGGCCGGCTCCTCCCTTGGCAGTCTGCTGGAGGAGGACTCGCCTTCCATCCTGGCCATTGAGCTGGAGACCCACGTCGAGCAGGGCCCCCCCTCGACCGGCGCCGCTCCGGTGGCTCCCTCGGTCGTGCCTGCCGCCGGCGCCGCGGCCGCGACTCCTTCCTCGGCCGCCACGCCGGCCAGCCCCAATCATGCGGTCCTGGCCAACCTCTTCTTCGATGATCAGGAGCTCTACAATGCCCTGCGCAACCGGGCCTTCTTGCGCTCGTTCGCCGAGTTCTGCGAGTTCCAGTACTGCCTGGAGCCGGTGCTCTTCTGGATGGACACCGAGGCCTTCCAGTTCCTGGCACGCGCGCAGGATGCCCGCGATCTGCAAGTCGGCCGCCTGGTCAAGATGGCCGCCTGGATTCAGGCCCATTACATCGACCCCGAGGGGCCGCTCCGCTTGAATATCCATTCGAATGCCCTGTACGTGCTCTTCCGGTTCTCGCCTGTGCTCCCTTCTCTCCCGGGAGCGGGACCCCCATGGCCTCGCACCCGCCCATGCGGTGGGTCGCACTTGTCCCAGCTACCCCATGGCCCTAACCATGCATCCTTGGCTCTCCTCGCCTCCCTTGCGCGCCTTGTCCATCACAGGGCCACCATTTCGGCTCCCTTCACCACCTCCTCGCCTCCCCGGGCCGATGGCTTCCACAATGCCCAAGCCCGCATGTTCTCGGTCATCCGTGATGTGCTCCTCCCGCAGTACATTCGAAGCCGGTTCTACCGGGATCTCGAGCGACGCATTCGTCGGGGTGCGTCCCTGTTGCTCTGCATGCCTCTGCCGGTTCCTCCCCCCCCCCCCCCCCCCCCCCCCCCCCCCCCCCCCCCCTCCCCCCCCCCACGGTCACCGGTTCTGCCTTGCCACATGCCTCCCACTGACACTGCTCCCTCCCTCTTGCTGCTCTCCCTGGCAAAGATCCCACTTCCTATCAGCAGGCCTACGTGGAGAACATCGGCGAGCACTTTGCCAGCCTCCTGCGTGCCGAGGACTCGTGGTCGGTCTCTTGGAAGAAAATCCCCGCTCCCAAGCCGGCCCCCGATGCCCGGGCCAGCGCCGCCAACAGCCTCCCCCCCGTGGCACCAGTGTACAACGAGTCGCCGGAGCAAATCCTCTCGATTGTCCTCCGCCGGTACTGGCCCGAGGCTCCCTTCCCTCGGTTGTACTTCCTGGAGCGCCAGCGCGTCCTGGTGCAGAAGCGCCAGCAGCAGATCCAGCTGATCCGTCGGCTGCGGAAGTTCTTCGGGGACCAGCCGATGCTCGATTCGATTGTCAACATCTCGCCCATGCGTTACTCGGCTGGACCGAATGCCGGCGGCATGCTCGATGCGGCCGGGCGCTCTTCCTCGGCCCTCTTGTCGCCCTCCAGTTCGGGCCGCGTGGCGGCCACGCACTTTGCCAGTTCCTCGGCTCTGCCGCTGCTCGGGTCCGGGTCCAGCCTGTCGTTGGATGACGGGTCCCAGGTGACGGCCTCCTCCTCCAGCGCTTCCATCGCCATGGCCGGCACCGGTGTCGGTGCTGCGCCGGCCGCCACCGCTGCTGCCGCTGCATCTGGCACGGCCTCCGGCTCCGGGGGGGAGGCCACCTCCGGGGCCGCCGGTCCCAACCTCAATTCGACCCTTCGCCTGGCGGAGGGCGGCAAGAGTGTCACCAATGGCTCGGCCCGTTCGGTCAGCCTTAGCATGGGCGTCCGGCCGACGCCCTCCGGGGGCGGCAGCGGCAGCGGGGCCCCAGGCTCGGGACTCAACCTCGGCTGGGGCATCACCAGCTCCCTGTCGGTGGACAGCTTCGATGACCTGCTGAATGGCATTGCCAACACGCCGATCATGGGCCAGCGCGCCGGGCCGGGGGCCCTGCGGCCGGCTTCCGGCTTTGGTCCCTACGATTTGCAGATGTCCTACAGCCACTCGAGCCACGAGCTGAATGCCCATCCGTCGCTGGCCGGCGGTGCTGGCGGTGCTGGCGGTGGTGCTGGCAGCGCTTCCGGCGACCGATTCATCAAGATGCGCCGGGCGGAGAAACTCCAGGACTTCTTCGGCGACAAGCTCCCCTCGCATGCGCTGGCCGACCAGAAGATCCACCGGCCGGAAAACTTTGCCGCGGTGGATCTTTCCCGCGAGGACCAGGACTCCACGGATCCGCTGGGCACATCGCACCACCAACAGTCCAAGGCCGGGGCCTCGTCCACGCGCTACCTCGGCCAGTTTGGCCTCTTTGCCGAGGAGGGCGGTGCTGCGGGCGGCTCCGGCTCCGGCGGCGGCTCCGGCGGCCGGGGGCAAAATGTCCTCGGACCACGCGACATCTTGGCCCCGGCACCCACGTCGAACATCCTCACCTCCGAGGAGCGGCGCATCCTCATGAAGCGCTCGCGCAAGTTGAACCGCGTTCTTGGCAATCCCATTGGCGAGGAGTTCCTCCTGGAAACGGCCACCGCTGCGGCTCTCGCTGCTCAGCAGCAGCCAGCCTCCACGGTCACCGCCGCCGGCGCCGGAAGCACCGATGGCCATCATCCCTCTCACCATCGCGGCCCATCGCCCCTCGGGAGCCTTGGCCGTGCCGCCTCCACCGAATCATGCCCCGGCTCGCCGCCGCCCCTGGCCATGTTCGTTCTCTTTCCCCATGCCGTCTGCCTCCCTTGCCGGGGCCTCCGCGCTTTTTTCCCTCCTCTTCCTCTTCCTCTTCCTCCTCTTGTCTCCACAGCCCTTGGTTGGTGCCCTTCCTGACCCCTCCCCTTGTTGCTGGTCTCACGATTGCTCCCCTTCTTGCGGCGTCCTGCTCTCGGTCATGTGCTTTTGTCCTACAATGGCAGGAACGTTCGTCGCAACACCGACCCCCTGGGCCGGACGCTGACACACGAGTCGATTGCCATTTCGGCGTCTGGGATGATCCCGGCCGGGGTGGATGGCAGCAACCCGGCCACCTACTTCGGCTCGACCACCTCCTTGTCGATGCACCACTCGGCTTCGGCTGGAACCCTGCGCGGGGGGAATTCGCCTGGACCAGACATCCTTGGCCATGCGCAAGTTGGTTTGTGTGATTCCCCGGCTGGGGGCTCCTCCTCGATGGGTGGCACCCCGGTGGCCATGGGCCTTCCGCCGGTCACCGGCACGGGCCAGCACACCGGCTCGCCCACTTCCCTCGCCTCGGGACTGGCGGCCCCGGCCGGTGGCCAGCTGTTGTCGTCGTCTTCCTCACAGCAACTTGGCTACCTTGCTCCACCAGGCACCATGACCCGGGCCCCCTCGTCGATCATTGTCGGATCCGGCGTGACCACCATCGGCGGGCTGGCGACGCTCCCCTCGCCGGAGCCCCTGGCCTCGGACTTCCTGTCTTCCCGGCGGAGCACCTTCTTCAGCACCACGCAGGGGCTCGGCTCCGGCATCGGTGGCACTGCCGGGGGGTCTGCCTCGGCCGGTGGGGCTGGCATTGATGACATCGATGCCGGGGCCCTGCTCATGGCCACCGTGTCCTCGGACGAGGAGGATGATGATCCGTACCAGCGCAAGGAGTACCGCCTGCGCAAGCTGTCCAAGCTCCAGGAGTTCCTCGGGGAGCGCCTCAACCGACAGCTACTGGAGTCCCAGCAGATCATCCCTCGGCCGCACATGTCGCCGGAGGAGCGCCGCGCCCAGCAGAAGCGCCTGCGTAAGTTGGCCAGCGTCTTTGGGCATCATCCCCCCGCTCCGGGGGAAGGACCGACCGATGACTTCCCCGCCGATCAGATGGCCTTCCTGCAGGACTCCTCCTCCAGCGGGGATCTGTCAAGTTCGCTGCTCATCCACCCGTCCGATCCGCTGGAAGTGCGCAATTCCAAGTCCATCCGGGCACTGGCCTTCCTGGTGGACAATCAGGATGACAGTGAGCTGGATGACTTCTTCAAGCGCATTGCCGATCTCGAGCTGGAGGATTCATCGTCAGCCGCGGCTGCCGTCGCCACTGCGGATGTCTCCTCGCCGGTGGATCCGGCTCGTGCGCGCCAGGCGCGTCAGAAGAAGTTGAAGAAGCTTCAGCGTTTCTTCGGTGAGACCTTCAGTGAAGAGGTGATGGTATGTATTTTCCCCCGGTCTCCTTCTTTCTCTCTCTCTCTCCCCCCCCCTCTCTCTCTCTCCCCACCGGTGCCACACGTTTTTGCCCACTTCCCTCCCGTCGTCCTCCCTCTCAGGGGGAAGGGAGGGCGGCGGTTCTGCGTGGCTGCTGGTTTCTCTTTTCCCTCCCTTTCCAAAGTTTTCTCTTCTTCCTCCATCTTCCTTTGTTGGGTTTCCTCCTTCCCCTCCTTCCCCTCCTCCCCCCATCTGCCTCTTTCCTCTTTTCCGCATGACCTTCGTATCACCTTTCGTCGTCTTCCTGTCGTCCCGCGAGATTGTAGTCACTTGGCCTGTGGACGTGTGAGTATGTATGTATGTGCGTGCGTGCGTGTGTGCGTGTGTGCGTGTGTGCGTGTGTGCGTGTGCGTGTGTCTGCGTCTGTGTCTGCAGGCACATATGCATGTTGAAATGATCGCAAGCGTCAAGTGGGCGTTTGCTTTCCTGTGTGCCAATGTGCGGCCACATTGCGTTATTTATGTGTAAGTGTGGGCGGGCGCATTGTGTGTCTGAGCGCAAGCATCCGTGGCATCATATGCAGAGCCTGCTCGGCGAGACATCGTGTTGAATTCTGGCCATGTGCGAACGATGTCTTCTGCTGCAGCCCCTGGCTCCTGCTATGTGCCTGGGTGCCAGAATGCGATGTACCTATCCCCGCTGGCCTCGCAGAGAGAAAAAAAGAGGAAGACAGAGAGAGAGAGAAAGTGAGAGATAGTTGGAGAGAGAGAGAGGGCGCGAGCACACGCACGCGATCTTTCCTCCTCCATATGGGGAGTATGCTGAGAGTGCCCGGTTGTGCGTGCCCGCCTGTTTAGTTGTCGGCCTCTGGCTGATGGCCAGGTCCCTTTCGGACTTTTGCTGTGCTGTGCCGACTGCTCGGGCAAATGATCCTGCGGTTGACTTGCTTCCCTCTCCTCTTCCCTCTCCTCTCCTCTCTCTCTCTCTCTCTTTCCGTCTTTCCTCATATCCCCCTCCTGTTGTCCGGCGAAGAGTGACGCCTGTACACGCACACACACACACACACACACACACACACACACACACACACACACACACACGCGCCAGTTGTGATATGCATTTCTCACAAGACCCACTGCGCCTCTGCCTGCTTCTCTCCTGGCCAGGTTGTTGCCGCTGCCCAGCCATCATCGAGTCACACCGTCACTCTGTCGCTACACCATGCCAGCCCATCAGCCGGGAGGGTGCCGATCCCCCTTGTCATCTCTTCCTCGACATGCGGTTTCGACGGTCTCCCTCCCGGGATCACCTCTCCCGAGGTGGAGACATCTCCCTGAGATGACGCGCCCTCCAAAGGGGCGTCGCCTCTCCTCCACCCCCGCCAACCTTGTGCGGAAGGACATGGGAGAACGTCTGTGGGCGTGTGGTTCTCTCACCCTTCGCTTGAAAGGGGGGAATTGGCTGATTGGGGCCGCGACCGTGATGGCGACTGGGCAGCAACACGACTGCGCATCCTCTCCCCCTCCTTATCCCTCCTTCTCCCTCCTTCTCCCTCCCCCCTCCTTCCCCCCTCCCTCCCCCCTCCCTCCCCTTCCTCCACTCAAGCGGTAGATTGACATTCTCCGGGTTCTTCCCGCTTTCTCCGAAGAACAAGTACAATCTCTTCGAAAACATTACTCAGACCATCGCCCGGACGATGGAGACCGCCAGCGGCGCCGATGCCCAGGCCATTCTCGAGGACATGGAGGATCTCAAGGTCCGGGTGATCCGACGCCTCAGCATCGCCTCGTCGCAGCACAATTCCTCCAACGAGACCACATCCTTGGCGGGCTCCTACAAGTCGTCGGCCCTGTCGGCCGCCGCCTTGACCGACACGTCCCTGGAGACGTGTGCTCTTCTTTCAGACCCCGATTATCGGACTCTCGCATCGGAGGATAACCACCGGCGGACATCCAGTCAGGCCCCCCCCTCGCCGCATCCCTTCCCCCCAGCTCGCCGGCGCCCACTCCCCCTGGCGGATGATGCCAGCAGCGTGGCCTGCAAGTGCGGCACTCTCTATCGCGATGGCAGCACCTCGGATGGCGGGGCCGCCCGGTGTGTGGCCTGCGGCCCTGCTTCGGGTCCGGGGGCGGTCGTCACCGGCACCGGAGCCGGCAGCGACCGCGGGCCGGTGTCCCACAACGGCGGCGGCGGCGGCGGCACCACCAGTGTCACCTCCGGCGATGAGGGGGACCTGGATGCGGCCGGCGCCTCGGGCGTGGCCACCGTGGCCCGCCACCCCTCGACCGGCTGCTCGGCATCCTCCCTGTCGCACTTGGACGCCGCGTCGGCCCTCTCGCCCGATCGCCGCCCGCGTGTGCACTCCCCCGCCGGCGCCGGCTCCACGATGGCCAGCTTGACGTCCGATATCCCCAGCGACATGGCCGACTCCTTCGATGGCGGCATTTCCTCCTCCTCGCTCGGTGACCTCGATGGTGATGCGGATTTCGAGGATGCCACCTCTGATTCGACGGACAGTGATGTTTGACATCGGGGGGTCCTTCCTTCCCTCCCTCCCCCTCCCCCCTTCCCCCCCCCCCTCTCTCTCTCTCTCATGCGACGGCAGGAGCGACCACGTGCGGCGTGCGTGTGTTGATCTGCGCTGCGTGGGTCGGCGTGTATGTGCATATCTGCAAGCAAGCGCAGGAGCAGCATTGCCCTTCTTTGCCCCGTCTCCCCTCTCCCCTCCCCTCCCCCTCCTTTGCTTCTTTCCTCTCCGCGCCACACATGCACGCACGACGCACAGACACGCCAGTCGCCCTTCTTGTGAACCCTTTCCCCCGGACGATGTCCTGTCGATCGTGCCTGTGCGCGCATGCGCATATAGGCCCGTCCTTGTGATTTCTCGACCCCTTGAGAGGTCTTCTCCCCCCCCCCCTCCCCCTTTCGCTGTCGCTTCCTCTCTTCTCGCCCACTTCTCCTGATAAGACGCTTCTCATGTGTGCCTCCTCGGCCAAAGATCTGCGACTTCGACTCAGGAATAAAACTCTCACATTTGCCTTCGTCTTCGTGGGGCATGGGAAAATGTCACAAACATGGCAGCGCGCGCGCGCGCGCACGCGCTCGCACGGCAGGAGGGGCGGGGACATGACGCAGGCACATGCGGCTGCTCTCCGCTGGGTCTGGCCCTTTCTCCGGCTATTTTCCGACAACGACACCAGCCCCTCGGTCCGGGTGCTGACTCCCGGCAGCCCGCCTCCCGGTTGTTTGCGTCGGGCGCCACTTGTGCCTTGCATCGGGCCAGGAACTGGCGCCGTGTCCCCCGGGCGGCCGCACATTCCGGCACAAAGAGGCAACATGGCACCGGGGGGCGTGTGTTGCTTTTGTTTGCGGTTTGTCCCTCGTGTTGTCTTTTGGCGGCGCGACAGGAAAAAGTGTGGGAACTCGCGCCAGGCCAATCACATGTGACATCGCATGACCATGCTCCCATTCGGGCAATTGGTGTTGGAGCAGGGTTGTTGGCGATCTTGTGGCCAGCCCCCTTGCCCAATGGGGGGGGGCGCGCGCAGGCAGGGAAGTCGAGGCCTGGGGTCAGCGTGAGAGGGCCACGGTCGGCCCCCGGCCCACGCCCGGCCCCCTTGATCTCTCCCTGAGACTCGGCAACCGGTTGCCCGTCCAGACAACAGCCCCGTAGCCAGTGGGATGGGGCGCGCGAGGCCGCGGGCGAGGCGGACCTGGGCCAATTTTCGGGCGCATCGATGTGTCCCCAGCATTGGCCAGGACATGTGTGAGAGAGAGAGAGAGAGGGCGCGCGAGGTGTGTTCTCACAAATGTGTGACCGGTTCCCGGCGCTGGCGCGAGGCGCCGGGCCCGAGCGTCCCCCCCCCCCCCCTCCCCCCGCCGCCCCGGCAACTTCCTCCGGAGCCAGGCGAGTGGTAATGCAATTGGCCACTAACCCAGAGCAGGTGGAGGCTGCCACAGGGAGCGCAGGGGCCTCCGGGCGTCGGAGGAAGGCCGGGAGGCCCGCCCCTGGGCAGGGACGAGTTACATCCCTGCCGGTTTGGTGATATTAGTGCGTCTTCGGGTCCGGGGATGTTTGCGGACGCGGTGGCGCATGTTGTCCCCCTCCCGCCCCCCGGGGGGGGGGGGGAACCGCCCTGGGTGCATGCGCTGTTTACAGATCCCCATAGGTGAGTGTGTCCCGAAAAGCGCGCACCGATGAAAGGGTGCGGAGCCTGCGTGGGAGCTGGTTTTACGTACAAAGAAGGCACATACACACACACACACACATGCACACGCACCGTGCCTCCTCTTTGACCGAGTGTTGGCTGGGCGTCCCCCGGCGGCGCAAGCTCCTTCGCGGTAGGGGCACAATTTTTCGAGGCTCTCAGGAATGCGCCCCCAGGGTATGGGGCTTCACCGGGACCCGCCTGGAAGGCGCGTTGTGCGATGATCGTGCCCCGGTCGTGTGCCCTCGCCGCCTCGTTTGCCGGCTCATCAGGGGTACCCCCCCCCCTCTCCCCGGTTCGGACTGCCCGTGTTGGTCGGGCCGCGGGAAAGGGTGCTGTCTCTCACGCGAGCGCTTGGGCGCGCGGTGAAGTTTCCCCTTCAGGAGTTGGATGTCGGCAGTCCGGTTCCCTGGAAGGCTGCCAGCCTCTCGGTCACAGCACATATTAGTACGCTCCCATGTGCGCGAGTGGGCGTGTGGACATGCTTGCGTGAGGGCGTGCGTGTGCGTGCCCCCGAGCCCGGGTCCGGGCGCCCTGATTGACAGGGGGATTCCCCCACCAGGAGCGTCACCCCCATTTCGGCATCGGTTGCTGCGAGTGTGCTTCGGCAAGGGGCGGGGGCGGGGGCGGGAGCGAGGGCCGGGGGCGGGGGCGGGGGCCGGGGCGGGCGGAAAGGAATCGAAACCAGATGGGTCCGCGCCCGGGCGGAGGACCTCCCAGGCCCGGCGGCCTCCTGAGTGGGCTTGCCTGCTTGCGCGCCCCCCCGTCCCTGCCCCCTGACGCACAGAGCCCCAAGCGGCTGGCCCAAGCGCGGAGTCCTATAAAAGAAACACCGGCGGGGGCGTGTCGTGGTCGATGGTTCGACAGCTTGCCCCGATCGCATCAACTTCCCCCTCTTCAGCGCCCCCGTCTCTCCCCTCCCCCCCCCCCCCCTCCAGCTCGTCCACCATGTACCCCAACTACCCTCCTCCCCATGGCTACCCCCACGGCCACGGCTACCCCCCGGGTGCCGGCTACGCTCCCCCTCCCGGTACCGGCTACCCCCCGACTGTTGGCTTCCAGCCGGTTGGTGCCCCCCCGCCGCCGGTGTACGGCGCTCCGGTCCATGCGTACCCCGCCCCGCCGCCGGTTGTCGTGACCACCTCCCGCTACCCGGCCCCCCCGCCGACTGTCGTCTACACCAGCCCGGCCCCGGTCACCTACACCACCGGCTACCCTGTCGCTGGTCCCTGCTACACCACCACCACCACCTACATCAAGCCCTCCAAGCACCACCGCTACCCCCCCTGCGGTCGCTACTAAGTGCATGTAGGGCAAGCGGGTGAGAGTGTTGCTCCCCCCCCCCCCTCTGAGAGCGAGTGTGTGTGTGTGTGAGAGAGAGAGAGATAGTGCCTCCCTCCGTGCCTCTCTCTCTCTGTGTCTCATCACACCATCCCTTGGGGGTTTGTCCGTCACATCATGTTACACCACCTCGTCCATTCCATGGTGGCGTCTGGCAGTGGGAAAGGATGCTCCCTTGCCTGCCTTTCGCTGTCTTTTGTAACCCCTCCCCCCAAGTGTGACACTCAAGGGGCCGGGATGGACAAAGGAGCAGGGTGTATGCCCGCCTGTGTACTATATATCCCCCCTCCGATGTGCGAGGCCTTTCCCTGTGTGTTGCCAGTTCCTCCCCTCTTTCTCTCTCCCCCTCCCCCCCCCCCTCTCTCTCCCCCTTGCTCCATGCGCCTGTGAAGAGGTGTCTTTTCCCTCTCGAGAAAAATAATAAAAACATACAAATCCTCCGCCGTTCCATCGTGCTTCCCCTTTTTTTAGTCTTGTTCGTGCTTATTTTTTCCCCTCCCTCCGCTGCCCACTTCACAAATGGAGCACGCCTCATTTGCACCGAGGCAAAACACGCACCAAATCCACCGACCCACCCCTCCCGCTCGAACTCACGCCCGCCCGTCGACCGTGCCATCTACAAGTGTGGATCTGTCTGTGGGAGTTGCTTGCCGCGCCCGGTGTGACAGTATGCGTGTTGGTTCGCCTCTCCGCCCGAGCCACTTGAAACCCATCCATACCCATGTTCCTCTGCCCTCCTCTCTTTCCCTCCCTCTCTCTTTCTATCAAACAATTCTATTCAAACGGGCATCTGAGATGCTTGCAGCTGAGCATCGGCAACGCCGACAGTCGCCTCCTGCAGCGGGGGAGCCGGATGTCCATGCCCCTCGTCGAAGGAGTTGGCCACTGGGGGGATGGGCCCGTTGGTCTTGGGCAACTCCGACATGGTGGGGTCCACTTGGTTGGCGCCGGGCAGCATCTGGTCGAAGATGGACAGGGCGAACTTCTGACAGACGGCCTTGGCAAACTGCACACCACGGTGGGAGTTCCCCCGGGCGTCCAGGCGCGGAGACCACACAGCCAAACCCATCACCTTCATACATGGACGTGCAAGCGAGCCCAAGGGCGTGTGGGCGTGTGGGCGTGTGCATGTGTGAGAGAGAAAGAAAAGGAGCGAAAGAGGACGGAAGAACCCCCAAGCAGAGGCGGGGTGCGGCTTGAATGCATGTGCATGAGGGGAGGCCCTGGCCACGGGGCAGAAATGAGGAAAGACGCACGTTTGGCACACAAATGAAGATGGCCCCGGAGACCCCACTCTTGGCTGGCAGGCCGGTGGTGCAAGCCCACTCGCCCGATGAGTCGTACATGCCGCAGGAAAGCAGCAACTGCAAGCAGGACTTCGTCGTCTCCTGGGAGATGACGCGCCTGCGAGTGCCAGACCATGGGCGAGGCAAAGGAGAGGGACAGGCGCGGTTAGATATTCCACCGAAATGGACGCCCCGACGCGGGAGGGACACCGAGATAAATGCTCCCACACGACCCCCCCCGCTCAAAGGAAACGCACTCGCAGGTGAGCGGCGACACCCCGCCGTTGCTCAGGGTCGAGGCCATGGCTGCCAGAGTGCGCACGTCCACTTCCAGAGCACACGCGCGCAGGTACAGCTCAAGGGTGGCCTTTACGTCGGCATTCTCGGGAAGGGCACCGACACTTTTCTGTCAGTTGGAAGAGGGAGCCGAGGGTACGGGGAGGTCGAGAGGAAGACAGACGAGGAAAGAGCGACAAAAAGGCAGAGGGGGGGAGGGGGGGGGGGCACACCTTCGG